TGATGGAGACATCGAGCCTTCTGGTGACGACATAGTGGAACTCTTAATGAAATCACCAATGTCAGTGTCAAAACCGGCAGATATTTGGTAGGGGCCCCTGAACTGTGCGTCTGAGGATCGAAGGTAATAAGGAGGCAGGGGAAACAATGTTTACCCAGGTTCGGGCCCTCTTAATGGAGGTAATACCCTACTTCCTGCTTGATTGACTATGATGAATATAGAGGTTACAAGAGTTGATCTACCTCGAGATCGTAATGGCTAAACCCTAGATGTCTAGCCTGTATGATTGTGTTCTTGCCCTACAGACTAAACCCTCCGGTTTATATAGACACCGAAGGGATCTAGGGTTGTACAAAGTCGGTTACAGAGGAAGGAAAGTATATGATCCGAACGCCAAGCTTGCCATCCACGCCAGGGAGAGTCCCATCCGGGCATGGGGAAGGTTTTTATATCTAGTATCTTCATGACCCATTAGTCCTGCCTACATCACATAGCCCGGACGTCCGAGGACCCCTTAGCACAGGACTCCCTCACTCGGCGACCATCTCGTCGATGATACGGGGATGGTCGCTGGCGCGAGCGCGGGGATGGTCATTGGGATGGGCGTGGGAGTAGCAACCGCCGCGGCCAGCTAGTTCAGGGCCATGTCCATGAGGCCCCATTCCTCCTTATTTTCTCTCTCATCCATCTTGGAGTCGACTTCACCAAACTGGAAGACTAGTGGCAGATGATCCTTCTACGCCATGGCGTTGGTGGAGGTCCATGGGAGGGGAATGGGAGATGAACAGTAAGGCTGCCTGTATTAAACAGTGGCTCATCCGCTATTAATGGAGAGGATGCGAGCAAGGCAGGCGGACATGGAAGTCAAGGTCTCGCTTTCCAGTGAGCCTGCTGATAACCCACAAGTATAGGGGATCGTTTGTAGCCTTCTTTGATAAATAAGAGTGTCAAACCCAACGAGGAGCTAAAGGTAGAACAAATATTCCCTCAAGTTCTATCGACCACCGATACAACTCTACGAACACTTGACGTTTGCTTTACCTAAAACAAGTATGAAACTATTTTGCAAGAATAAAACTATGAGTACTTTGCGAGAATAAAACTACAAATAAAATGCAAGGTAATAAAAGTGGATAGCTTTTGTCAACAAGAAACTCATTTGTCCCTAGGCAAACGATAACAAGTACCAGTAATCATACTTGCAATTTTATATGAGGGAGAGGCATGAACTAACATACTTTCTCTACTTGGATCATATGCACTCATGATTGGAACTCTAGCAAGCATCCGCAACTACTAAAGATCATTAAGGTCATGAACCCCAACCATAGCATTAAGTAACAAGTCCTCTTTACTCCCATATGCCATGACCCACTTATCCGCGTTTAGGCTGCTGTCTGATACGTCTCGAACGTATCTATAATTTATGAAGTATTCCTGCCATGTTTACAATAGTTTTATATGGTTTTGGTATGATTTGATTAGAACTTACCCAGACTAACACTGTTTTCAGTAGAACTACTGTGGAGTTGTTTTCATGCAGAAATAGAAGTTCTTGGAATGCGCTGAAAATCAACGGAGATTTCTTTTGGAAACTATAAAAAATACTGGAACAAAAATCTACCTGAGGGGAGTCCAGAGGGGCCCACGAGGGTGGAGGGCACCCCCCAGGGGACGCCCCTATGCGTTGCGGACTCCCCGTGGGCCCCCTGACTTGTCCTCGACGCTAACCTCTCCTATAAATGCCCAAACCTCCAGAAAATAACCTCTGGACTCTGTAGGCCTCTGTAGCCATGAGAAATCAATCTAGACCCTCTCTGGCACCCTGCCGGAGGGTGCCATCATCACCAGAGGCCATGGAGGAGGATCCTGGAGGGGCCATCGTCGCCATGAAGGCCAAGATCCAGAGGGAGAACCTCTCCCCATCTAGGGGGAGACGATGGAGGAGGGAGCACAAGGGGGAGAACCTCTCCTCCTCTCTCCTGGTGGCGCTAGAGTGCCATTGGGAGGGGAGTCATCGCCGCGGTGATCGTCTTCATTAACATCACCATCATCATCACCATCCTCGTCTCTTTTACGCGGTCCACTCTCCCGCACCCCGCTGTAATCCCTACTTGAACAAGGTGCTTTATGCCACATATTATGATCCAATGATGTGTTGCCATCCTATGATGTTTTGAGTAGATAGCCTTTGTCTTTGGGTTGATTGATGATCTAGATTGGTATGAGTTGTATGTTTTATTTTGGTGCTGTCCGATTGTGCCCTCCGTGTCACGCAAGCGTGAGGGATTCCCGCTGTAGGGTGTTCCAATACGTTCATGATTCACTTATTGTGGGTTGCTTGAGTGACAGAAGCATATACCCGAGTAAGGGGGTTGTTGCGTATGGGATAAAGGGGACTTGATATGTTAATGCTATGGTTGGGTTTTACCTTAATGATCTTTAGTACTTGCAGATGCTTGCTAGAGTTCCAATCATAAGTGCATATGATCCAAGAAGAGAAAGTATCTTAGCTTATGCCTCTCCCTCATATGAAATTGCAATAGTGATTACCGGTTTTGTTAATAATTACCTATGATAATTCCGCACACCGAACCATCATTATTCCACACTCGCTATTTATAATATTTAGTAATATATCCTAACTTTATGATAACAAAACCTACTTTTATATTTTAGCTCTCCGATGCCATGCAAAGTTACCCTCTTTATACCAAAAACATAGTTTTCTTTCTCGTTTCTAGTTGGAAGCAAACGTTCGGTGTACGTAGAGTCGTATCAGTGGCAGATATGACATGAGAGAATATTGATCTTGCCTTTAGCTCCTTGTGGGTTCGACACTCCATACTTATCACTTCCACCTTTGGGAATTGCTATGATGATTCCCTTCACTTGGGGATTATCAAGCTCTTTTCTGGCGCCGTTGTCGGGGAGCAATAGCGTGGGGTTGATATTATCGTGTGTGCTTGTTTGCTTTCTTCACTAAGTAGTTTTTGTTTTCCAGTTTAGTTTTGCTTAGTTGTGGGTGAAACATAAAAAAAAATCAAAAAATGAAAATACAAAAGGGTTCACTTGCCTCATATGCCTAAAAAGCTTTTCAAAAAGAGAAGTGATTGCAAAGTTATGCATTGAAGAAGTGAGGGTCGACCTTGAGCACTTGTGTTCATGCTCATGGAAACAATGTAGAATTTTTCATGGAAGTTTCTCTGAAAATAATTATCACCTTGTATATATCCATTGTATTATCTTTCCCTAATAATAAAGCACGGATTGACTCCTTGGGTTCACCGTCACAATACGCTTTCTTCTCATGTCATAATACGCTTCTACGGTTTGTATAGGCATATTCATAATATAAATGAGGTGGTACTAATTTGGGGTCCACACATAGTTTTCGTACGTCTTTGGAGAAAAAAATCACCCCTTGTTGTCCCAATAAGTTAACCCGAACCGGTACGCGTTAGGAAAGGAAAGGAAATCAGCCCGCCCCCGCACGACAAAACCCTTCTCCACCTCCTGCCATGCCCTTCACCGCGCGTCGCATTGCGCCGCCACCGCCCACCCCGCCGGCCCACCTTCCCTGACCCAACCGGCTACACTGGGATGAAGCTCAAGCACACCTTCCGGATCGGCTCAACGCGGCGGCTTGAGCGGTTGGGGATGGCACGCCTTCTCGATGTACAACGGCGGCGACGGTTGCTGGAGCTTGCAGGGGGCGGATCCGTGCGTGGTAGGGGCTGGGGAGGTTGATCTAAAGGTGGGCGACGAGGCGGGCGTCGCCGTTGACTATGAGGAAGGACAGAGCGAGGGATCCGGTGACCTACGTAGGAGCTCGCCAGAGCCGGGAGATGGAGGACGGGCGGGTGAGACTTATGGATCCGGCACGGCGGCGTGAATTCCTTGCCGGTAGAACCAGCAGCAGAAGGAGGATGGGAAGGCTATTGCCATCACAGAGAAGAAAGAGGGAAATGTAGGCCTGCACTTAGATGTGATTATGCAGTAAAATGTTATTGAGAGCCGAGGATTCTGTAGACGCACTTTGAATTGGAAGTTATGTGGTTCAACTGTTTCAGGTATGAACTCACCTAAGTTTGTTTCAACATTTCGATCTAGAACATCATGAACATTGCTTATTCTTTGCTAATCCTGATGTACTGCTATCACCATTTGGTAATTACGCTTTAGCAGGGGGCAAGGATTGACGTAGCCAAATTTCGTTTTTGTAAATAGTATAAAAAGCAGTATGATGTTTCCTATACAGAAGCCTTCCTATATAGAATGCACACACTTTCCATTGCGTGCAAATAAAATCCAAACAATGCTTTTGTTTTCATCCATTAAGGATAAGTAAAACACATGCGCACAACATTCTGGATAGGCAGTAGCAAGCAAGGCTCTGCACCGGTGAGTAGAAGAACACTTCTTCCAAATCAAATTGAACGACCATTTTTAGATGTTAGGATGACAACTCTATTTATGTTGTGTCATTTACCAAGAATGTTGTTTACAGAGATGTATTCTATAATTGTTGCTTAATGTGAAAAAAGATATTGTTTGTAATTTATACTTGTATTCCAGTCGGCAAGAGTCGATAGACGTAGTTATTGTTTTATTTTAATTTATGTGACACATCCTATGCATGAACAAAGTTTATACTTTTTGGGTTTTCATTTAGTTTTTATCACTCTTTAATATTTAGTTATGCTTGATCTTCATCTTTTTATACATCACAACAATACCCATCCCCAACTAAAAGACATTATGCATTCCGTTGCAATGCACGGGCATATGTGCAACCCTGGTGATAATATGTTTCCTGATTCTTATAATTATTTAGTCGAGGCACGTTTATTAGTTTCCTGATTATCAGTTATGCTTCTCTGGAACTACCTTTAGTACATTACGATGCATCTATTTGGTTTCCTAAACCTCATCCTAGATTGATCACATTTCTGTTATGTAGTTAATGTTTATTTTACATCTCTTCTCCTAGATTGGAAATGCTCTTCAGCAGCTTGTTCTGTGACTCGACATCATCGGAGAACTTTTTTGGTCATCCTGGTGTTGAGAGATGCCCATTCATGGGGAACATCAATGGAGCCACAACCTTTTCATTTTCTTCTGCTTTGCCTGTAGCTGTAAGATCTGCTTCTTATGTCATTTGGTGACACTCTGACCAAGGTAGTGCATTTTTCCTTGACAATATGTTTTATTTTGCAGGCTCGGGGAAATAAGGGCCTGATCTTTGAGGATGAACCAGGCTTTGAGTCAGCATTCAAGATTTTCCATGAACAGGATGGGATAGTTCCCCTTTCAGGAAGATCATACGTGCCTAAAGAGAACCATAGTGAGATCACTGATGTCAATCCTGAACCTGCTCTACCTTTAATCCATTTGCTGCTAGAGCCGCTACCATAAGTCTATCAGCCTTTGGACCATCTGGGTTTAACTTCTATAATGGCAAGGGCAAAAAGCAGAACAAGAAGCTCAACAATCTAGACCATTCACACAAGAAGCCCAACAAGCCAGATCAGAATTCCATGAAGGTAATGCCTTTGTTTTTTCTTCATTCTCCCTCTTAATATGCAATTGTCGAGTGATTTCTTACTGTCTAACTTTCCTGCAAATAAGAAACCTTGAGCCACATGACACACAGCTATATTGTAATAAAAATGTAAAATGTTATTAGTTGATTTAGAAATAACAAGAAACTTTTAGTACAACATAAAAGCCAAGTTCTGATTGGTTAAGTCTTCACTTCATTAACCACATTCAGATAGTCAATAGAGATGAATTTGACCATGTTTACAATCTCTTAGAGTACATCTTGATGAAAAGGTAGTCTTAGTTTCTAGAGTATAAAATTGATGGAGGCTACTACCAAATTTCCACTGTTCCAATTTGAAAAGCATACAAGAATCTAATTACGCCATGTTCTAGTCTGTTAATTTGTTATTCAGACAATGCAATCTATCACTATTACTTTCATGGCCCCTTTTCTGCAAGGAACAAGGGAGATTTAGAATTCTATCTATTTCTGAAGAACCTTGGGATGGTTGGTGCTTCATTAGGCAAGAGGCAGAAGCTGGAGCGACAGCCGTGGTGCCGTGGAAGTGGCGTGTCATGGAGGCAGAGTTGGTCAGTGCAAAGTTGTGCGAAGCGAAGCCAGGCTACACAGACAAGCAGGCCGAGGGCGAAGGCGTCCGGGTGCCACAGATGGAGGCGCTGGGACAGGGTGGTGAGGTGAAGAGGACGGGGTCGAGAGCAGCTATAGTGCGTGCATCTGTCCCCTCCTTTGTTTTTTCACCAAGCCTACGTAAAATCTATCAAATTATTCAGTGTAAGATAGCCGAATACATCTACCTCTAGTTAATTTTATTTTTTAACATGCTAGTACTTTATTCAGCTGATCGGGTCTTCTTTTACTTCGGTTCCTCAATTGTATTCATTGGCTGATCAGCATGCATCCGGAAGGTGATGTCCTGATGCATCTATCAACATGGGTTATAGAACAAATTATCAACAAGTATGGTGTTAGCCAGTGTTACCGTGCTCTAAAACTATGCAATAGTGATCTCAAAGAACCATAAATATCCAACATAGTGGTGGACTTTGGCATTTTGTGTTCCTACTATGACTTTCCTTTGAATATTTTGTTAATTTTCTAATTAATCTTTCCTTACCAGCACTGTCAGAGTATGATTCCCTATAGAAAATTTGATTGAAGATCTCAATGATGGCAATTATTTACACATGTATAGTTGTTCAGCTCCTGCTTTCTGACAACTGTGTAGGAAATTTGATTGAAGATATGATTGATGGCGATTCTAGGTAAAGTTGTTCACCTCCTGCTTTCTGACCCATCAAATATTTTGGTATGCATTTATTTTCCCCTCATTAGTAGGATGCTTCCTACCATTGGATTTACAGTGACATCCTTCTTTTTTTCAGAAAAGTGATTGCTCCATCAGATTCACATAAAAAGAAATTGCACCACTGCACCATGGATGTCCACTATATGAAGGAAGCTCCGGTTCTGATATCAGATGCAGTCAAAGTTTCAGCAGAATATATTCTTAATGGAGACAAGGAACTAATTGTTGCATTTCTATGAAATATGTTCATTCATATGCAGGTTAATCGACACATGTTGTTCAGTATCTCCTTACTCATGTTGAAGTTTTATACTGTTATATTTCACCTTTCGATTGTACTGAAGAGGTGGACTAATGGACTGACTTTTGTATTTTTCACCCACTTAATAGGCAGCATTACAATTGAGGTATGTTGTACTTCTCAGCATTATGTTCTTTCCTCAGTCTCTTAATAATTATTATGTTCTACCCTCAATCTAATTAGTTAGTGTTAGTTGCCTAAATCAGAAGGGCCGCGGTAGCGAATGTTTAGTAAGCATGTGTATTCTTTGGGCTCTTGGTCATTCTGTTGGTGTCTTTACTTCTTAAAATTGCTAATGCATTTTTTGGCCCACTCAATTTTGTCGGTTTCTCGAACCCGTTGCAACGCATGGCCTCTTTTGCTAGTAAAAATAATGCGCCAAGCTTTGGTTTTAGGATGATTAGATTTCTTGTTTACTATGTGCAGCACAAAAACAGAAACTTTGGTTGTAGCGCGCGAATTTACATTTTTTACTGGAAAGTCAAATGGGTCTAAATATTTTTGCACATTACTTCTGTAATTTTTTTATAAATTTTCATATTTGTTTAGAAGATTTTGGTGTTACAGAAGTTTACTAAATTTCCAGATTACTACATATTGTCCTATTTTTGACAGATTTTGGTTTCTATGTGTTGTTCGCTTATTTTGATGAATCTATGGGTAGTATCGGGGGGTATGAACCATGGTGAAGTTGGAGTACAGTAGATAAAGTGCTAATATGAAATTGGAATGAGTTTGCAATAGTACCTAAAGGTAGTGATTTGCTTTATTATACTAAAGGATCTCACAAAGTTTTTGTTAAGGATTGTGTGGATGGAGTGTTCGAAGAACGAGAATTTACCGATGTGAGAAGAATAAAGAGAGGCAAGAGTTCAAGCTTAGGGATTCCCAAGGCATCCCAAGTAAATATTTCAAGGATAATTAAGCATCTAAGCTTGGGGATTCCCCGCTTGGCATCCCATCTTTCTTCTTCAACAATTATCGATATACCTTGTTTTTTGTTTTGTTCACATGATTTGTGTCCTTTGTGTTTTTCCTGTTCTTTAAGAATCATGCTAGTATGAGATAGCCCTTGCTTGATTTATAGAATGCTTCATGTGCTTCACTTATATCTTTTGAGTATGATCTTATAGAATGCTCTTTATGCTTCACTTATATCTTTTGAGTATGATCTTATATAATGCTCTTTGTGCTTCACTTAAATCTTTTGAGTATGGTTTTATAGAATGCTTTGTGTGCTTCACTTATATATTTTGAGCTTGGATATTGGTTAATCTATATTAATTTTAGAATGCTCCATAAACTTCACTTATATATTTTGGAGTATGAATAATACTATCATCGAAAGTGGGTTTGGAAGAGTGTCAACTTTAGGAAGATCCCACTATTTTGGAGGGTGTTGAATCTTAGTGTGATATTTATGGAAGTGGATTTGGAGAGGTCTTGACTTTAGTTAGTAATAATTCCACTATTTCGGATGAAGTTTGAATTGATTATGAGAACAAAGTTGCTATCTATCATGATTATTGTGATGAGATGTATGCTATAAAGAGATACGTTAACTATGAAACTTGTCATCATGATTTAATTTCTCTTTTGGATTATGCCTCACATGATAGTTATTTTGTTGAGTTTGCTCCCACTATTCTGAATGAGAAGAATTTTGCTTATGTGGAGAGTAGTAAAATTTCTATGCTTGTAGATCATGAAAAGAATGCTTTATGTGATGGTTATATTGTTGAATTCATTCATGATGCTACTGAAAATTATTATGAGGGAGGAATATATGCTTGTAGGAGTTGCAGTAATATCAAGTTTCCTCTCTATGAGCTTAAAGTTTTGAAGTTATACTTGTTTTGCCTTCCTATGCTAGTTGATTATTGTTTCTATAAATTGTGAGCTCACAAATCCCTAGGCATAGGAAGTGGGTTAGGTTTAAATGCGCTAGTCATATTCTTCATGATGCTCTATTTATGTTTCAATTCTTATCTTTTATGTGAGCATCATTGAAATCATCATGCCTAGCTAAAAGGCATTAAAGAAAAGCGCTTGTTGGGAGACAAACCAATATTTACCCTTACTGTTTTTGTGCGTTCACATGATTAAGATACTGTAGTAATCATGTTTTATAGCTTTTGTTTCAATAAACTGCCAAGTAAGACCTTTGGGAAGACTAGGGTTAAAGTTAATGTGATCTTGCTGTAAAAAACAGAAACTTTGCGCTCACGAGATTAGCTGTCATTTTATACACAAGAGTGCTTTTGAGTTGATTCTTTTTGAAGAAGATTAATAGAAAAATTACTCACGTCTACCAAATTTTGGAGTAGCATAAGTATGGTTTCTGTTCAGATCATTACATACTGTTCTGTTTCTGGTAGATTCTGTTTTCAATGCATAGTTTGCTTGTTTTCTAGTTTCTATGGCTTATATTGCTCAATATAAATTGTAGAAATGATATGGTACAGTAGGCATTTTATGAGAACAATTATGAATATTTTCTTTGACAGTACCAAAGTGAATGATTTACTCTTTATCATACTAACCCATCTCACAAAGTTCCGTTAAGTTTTGTGTGGTTGAAGTTTTCAAGTTTTGGGTGAGATATCAATATGAGGAGAATAAGGAGTGGAAAGACCCTAATCTTGGGGATGCCCAAGGCACCCCAAGGTAATATTCAAGGAAGACTCAAGAGCCTAAGCTTGGGGATGCCCCGGAAGGCATCCCCTCTTTCGTCTTCTAAACTATCAGTATACCTTACTCGGAGCTATATTTTTATTCATCACATGATATGTCTTTTGCTTGTTGCGTATTTTCAATTTTACTTGCTGTTTAAATAAAATCATTGGATTTGAAAGCTTGAATGAAAAAGAATCCTCCCGTGGCTAGTTACTTATTGGACTACTCAGTGTTCTTCACTTATATCCTTTTGGAGTAGTTTGTCATTTACTCACGTGCTTCACGTATATCCTATGAGTAAATGGTTGAATGAATTGAATATCATAAATCTAAATTTATATATGTTTCATATGCTTATACCATGGTGTGTAATGACTTCACGCATAATAAGCATAGGTGGTAAATTTATTGAAAGTTAGCAAACATAGAATTGGTCAGTTAAACAATTCATGAAAGAATATTGAAGGAAGAGAGATTTCACATATAAATGTACTATTATGGACATCTTTTGTAATTGTGGGCACCCAACGTATCCACTTTTCCAAACACTTTTGCCCTTGTTTTGGACTCTAACCTGCATGATTTGAATGAAACTAACCCGGACTAACGTTGTTTTCAACAGAACTACCATGGTGTTATTTTTGTGCAGAAACAAAAGTTCTCAGAATGACCTGAAAATCCACGGAGATTACTTTTGGAAAATATAAAAAATACTGGCAAAAGAATCAAGGCCAGGGGGACCACACCCTGTCCACGAGGGTGGGGGGCGCGCCCCCTGCCACGTGGGCCCCCTAGATGTCCACCGACCTCAACTCCAACTCTATATATTCTCTTTCACGGAGAAAAAAATCAGAGAGAAGTTTCATTGCGTTTTACGATATGGAGCCGCCGCCAAGCCCTAATCTCTCTTGGGATGGCTGATCTGGAGTCCATTCGGGCTCCGGAGAGGGGGATTCGTCGCCGTCGTCATCATCAACCATCCTCCATCACCAATTTCATGATGCTCACTGCCGTGCGTGAGTAATTACATCGTAGGCTTGCTAGACGGTGATGGGTTGGATGAGATTTACCATGTAATCAAGTTAGTTTTGTCAGGATTTGATCCCTAGTATCCACTATGTTCTGAGATTGATGTTTCTATGCTTAATGCTTGTCACTAGGGCCCGAGTACCATGATTTTAGATCTGAACCTATTATGTTTTCATGAATATACGTGAGTTCTTGGTCCTATCTTGCAAGTCTATAGTCACCTATTATGTGTTATGATCCGACAACCCCGAAGTGACAATAATCGGGATACTTCTCGGTGATGACCGTAGTTTGAGGAGTTCAAGTATTCACTATGTGGTAATGCTTTGGTCCGGTACTCTATTAAAAGGATGCCTTAATA